GCCAGCAAGCCATAACCAACCATGTCGAATACTACTGTAGTGGGTTTATACACTAAATAGATGCGATCTTTGCTTTACATGCGTAGACAATGTAATGGGGATATAGATATTGGTATCATCCAATCTTGTCCGAGGTTCGACAAAGATTATATAACGTTAGTATATATACAGTATACTGATCTCCACCCTTAAACGAAACGGAGCAAATTATGCAATTCACACAGTAAATTAACTCTTACAGGTATTTGCAGGCTGTCTGAACCAACCATTTATACATGCATTCAAGCGCTGGGCGTCTCCAAGTCAGAGCTGAGTATGCCAGTGCGTCTCCAGCAGTTTCTCACAGTGGAAATGATGTCATCCATTTCAATGCCAAACGATTCAAGTGTTCGAATTTTGAAAAAGTCATCACCTTCCGATATGGTTGGATAATATAAAGTTTCAAAAATTATCAAGTTTACCCCGTTTCGTTTAAGGGGGGAGATCAGTATATGGTTTTGCCCAATGCGGAGGGGTCAAACGTTTGGATTGGCAGAAATTCGACATGACGTGATTTCATTGGCTCAGGCGGTTCTTTAATCGATTCTCCTACCGTATAGTGTATATGTATTGCGACAGGTGATAGATATTTCACAACCAGCTGACACTCGTTCTCAAAATTTAGTTATCAATCCATTGCGTCATACAAATTTGAAGTATATTCAACATGTTCACAAGTATCAGTTATTACAAGAAAACTATCAGTTATTACACGAGTCGCAATAGATTAATCTGTCGCAATACATATACACTATACGGTACGACATTCAATTCTGCTGATTCGAATGGATTTGACAATACCTGTAAACATCTCTTGGTTTCTCCGAGCCACATATACTATGTATGTTCCAACACCTTAACAAACGTCTCAAGTGGATATTTTTATTCACGCAGGATAACGAGACTCCACCCAGAATTACATGCTTTAAACTGTACTGTACCGGGCAAAGGCTGATAAATCTGGGTATATCAACGATCTATCTCGGCCGAATGCATCATAATCGACCGTGCACACGGCTAATTCTGTTGTTACGATCTCCATATTAATTTTTGGATTTGAGGTCGACTATGTCAAATCAATTACATAAGCACAACACACCTAGACACGACACAGAATATATAATTGAGTTCAGCCAGCAAATATTAATTGCGTATTCTTTGACCAGGTCCATTCAGAATATACATCATTCAATTTAAATAAATACCTCTGGTCCAGAATATATAGTTTCCCCCACCTCTGCCCTGGTAGTACAGTGGATCACAAAAGTCTGCATACCCCCGTGTTCAACGATGTCATTGAAGGCTATTTTGTGATGTATTGCTCGGTTTGCAGTGTGAAAGGATGTATTCGAAGGACAATTGCTTCCTGGATCGACACATTACTGTAGACCATGCATGTGACAACTAGTTGAAGACATGCGTCACGAAAAAGAATTTCGATTGAATCAAAAGTCTGCCTACCCATTACCAAACTAGTAAGAAATGACGACTTTTGAGCTTTCTAGTACTTCGTAGACCCTCCCTTGTTGGCAATGACCATGCTCAACCTCTTTGGCATGGTATCAATGATCTTGCAGATGTATTCCAAAGGAATATTGTCCCAAATATCAAAAAGACGAGCTTTGAGCCCCTCGACCGACGTCGGAGGTGCTTGGCGCACCCTACGCTTCATGTACTCCCACACATGCTCAATAGGATTGAGGTCTGGACTTTGGGGGGGGGGTGGTTCAACAAATACAAACCGTTGTCGTCGAAAAACTTGGCGACAATCTTCGTCTTGTGAATTGGCGCGTTGTCTTGAAGAAACTCAAAGTCCAGAGGGAGGCCGAGTTTGGCGAAATTTTCGCCTATGCTCTCCTCCACCATGGCAAGATAGTCCGTGGACTTCATTTTGCCTTCACACACCACCAGTGTGCCGACACCATTGTACCCAATGGCCCCCCACAACATGACTGTCTGGCGACCACTCTTGAACGTCGGAGCCAGGCATTCTTCCTTAATATCTTCTCCGACCTTGCGCCACACATAGATGCGCCCCGACGAACCCGAGAGGTTGAATGGACTTTCGTCCGTCCAAAGAACCTTGTGCCAGTCTTCAGGCAAGCGATTTTGGTACTTTTTGGCATAGGCCAAACGCTTCCCTTTGTTGGCCTTCGAAATGAATGGCTTGCGTCTTGCTGCTCGACCATTCAGTCCCTCGGCTTTGATCCGACGGCGAATCGTCTGGGTTGAGATGTCTTTGTCGTGAAAGACAGCAAGACTCTCTTGCAGAGTTTCGGCGCTGAGGCGCCGGTTTTTCTTGATTTCGCGGGTGATGAGCCGGTCTTCGCTCTCCGTCGTCACACGGGGTCTTCCAGAGCGAGGTTTTGGCGCAGATACACCGTTCTTGAACTTCCGTACGATTGTTTGGACCGTTCCCTTGGGGAGACGGAGCAGAGAGCCGATTGTCTTGTAGCCCTTGCCATCCTGGTGGTGTGAAATCACCAGATTTCGAATCGCCTGCGATATTTCGCTGCCAGGAGGTGTTTCGGTAGGATTGGCCTGCATGCTTGGTGCTTTAAGCGTCTTAGCGTGCTCGTGCGAGGTGAGAAGGAAAAGTGAGCTGTGCACGTGATGCATTGAATATTTATTGGGGGTCTAGCGCCTCCAATCGTTTAGGGTATGCAGACTTTTGTACCGTCAACATCTTGACAGACGGCATGACATCCCACTTTTCTCAAGGATGCTAAGACCAATCAAACGGAAGAAATGGTGTTTCAGGTTGTCTACGTCAATGGCCATCTGTACGACGCATTCATGTGATTGGCAGATGCATAATGATCCCACAATCACTCATACATGAGTGCAGGTGCATGGGGTATGCAGACTTTTGTGATCCACTGTACAATACTATAATACTAGTAGTATTCTGTCAAATTGCAGTGTAATCTTATAGATTTGGCCCGAATTTCCGGATCCCGACCAATCGAATCTCGGCGACCAAACCGATCACGAATCTCTCTCATTGGTCAATCTGAAACTACTCTTCTCTGATTGGCTACATGTTTCTTTCATTTTCTTGGTGCTGTCTGCATAATGGGGAAACCCAATTTCATCCAAAATATCGCGGCGAGATTTGAGATCAGTTTTACAACTCGCGCAGAATTGGGAACTATGTAGAGAATTTATAATATGTACTATTAATAGTATATTTCAACGAGTTATGTCTGTACTTGCTCTAACTATACATGGATTGTTTGTTTATTTGCAATGTACCACGCACGGTGCTTGGCAATTTCTCGCTCCGCCACCTCCATAAACATCTGGGGGTACCGCGCTTCCTTCAAGTGGTCGGGAGTTCCATCCAAGTCGATACCCCACGACTTGGCGTCTTCCTCCAGAGACAACAACCCATCTTTCGCAGTAAACAACTGCGACAGAAGCAGTACATTTCGAGCTACGATGCCTCCCCCTCCCGGCAACCGACGAACCATTTCCCTACAACTTAGTCAGCCATCGATTTGAAAACACATGAACGTTAGGTACCACGACATGCGGTTCCTCTGGGGCGTGCCGCCATCGCACATTTCGTCGCTTTGGATTTGCTGAATCACAAACGTACACTCGTCCTGTACATGGAACTCTCCCACAAGGACATTCGAGTACTCGTTATTGGGAGTAACCACGGCATATTGCCTCGTGTGGCCTTCGACTTCGTTGACGATCTAATCCACAAATATATATATATATATATATATATATGATTGACCTTCGACGCCCGATTATATAGATACTGCAGTGGGGTAGTGGATACGTTTGGACACATTTCAAAGGACATCATAGAAATCAGCAGGCAATCGGTCGACCAATCAAAACCCATATCAGAAATCAAGTAGCCAATCAAAGTATCCACTCTTCGACCAATACACTGGACGATTTTACATCGAATAGAAGGCAATACAAAATCGATCGATAGATTTGGCGAATCAGCACAAAAGTCGAAATTTTGGGGAAAACGACAATATCAAAATCAACCAATCAATCGACAGCGTTGGTGAATCATACTACTACCAGTATAACATTAACTAGTAGTAGTATGTACTAACCAAAGGAATCGTCGGGTCAAAGTAAATGACAGCGCACTGCAGGGGTAGTAGTGTCTGGTTGTAGTAGTCGACAAATGTTTCCAGTGACCAGGTCGAGACGGCTTGGCGAATGTACTCCAGCGTATACCCATTCTCGCTGAACGTCATCTGCACATGGAATATGTATTCGGGCGCCGTCGTGTCCAGCGAAGGATACCCATACTGCTGGAAGACGCGGTCACGATTGTGGTACATTTGCCTCGTGATCCATTGCTTGCCTAGGGAGCGCGACTCGGGACTAGCTAAGAGGGAGACGTTCCGCCAAGTCGAGCACATGGCGTTCGGAGCTCGCTTCCATGTACATATCAGGGAAGAGCATGAGTTGGGAGGATCTGTACCTGCAACGACACTTGGGCCAGGACCCACTGGTACATTTCGAGGAGGTGCTTCTTGTTCTGTATCTGGTCCTTCGCTAGAGCTTTGTGTTGAGACTCGGCCAGCCGTCGGTCGCACAACAATGCTTCCGCCACGTCCTTCCACGACAGCATGCGATTGACCTTGCTCGATGCGTTACGGGCGATGGTGGTCGCTTTCGTCAGCTCCAACTGGTGAATGACTTGTTTGAGCTTGTTGACTTCGTTCTTCTTCATCTTGCGGTACTGCACTTGTCGAGCGCACTTCTCTGCACGGGTGAAACCCTCGGCCCACTCAGCCAGCGCCGCCGTTGTGTCATTCTCGTCCTCGCTTGGTGCTGGCATCCCATACGCACAGGTGATTGTATTCCAAGCATAATAGTATATATTAATAAAATAATATACAACGTACTACTACGAGTAGTACTCTGATTAATTGTAAGTTATATTATTAAAATAATTTTAGGTGTCAAGTTGGCCAAAATACTTGAACTATTTTAATAGTTCAAGGAATCCATATTAAAACATTGTTAACATTGAAATATCAATAACACAAATAAGAGCAGCATCCATCTCCAACGGTATTGTAATACGAATTGTGATCAATAACTTACCATATGTTTCAACGGCCTATGATCTGTGCATGTCAACTCTTTGATGATGGCCAGAGGAATTGGATTGATTGCATGAAGTCCGAACAATTATAATATTTATCCATCTGATTTACAACCTTATAGCCAATCAAATCATATCATGCCAATATTTCAACCAATCAAAAGAATTCTTACATATCTCGATTCATTCTGTTTTTCCACGATGGCAGATTGTCGCGACGTGCTGTACCGTTCACTGGAAGCGTCCATTGAACGATGCGGCGGTCGGCTGGACGAAGTCAAGGTCCTGGAGACAGCGTAAGTCCTCATACCCCCTAGGAGGACCCTCACTACCGGTATGTATGTCGTCCAGACGGCACTTTGACAGCGACAGACAACCCAAGGCCTACGACGACACCACCAACCCTGGTGAGAACGCTGTTCGACTTGTCTGTTGTCCCCACTCTGCGGTACATCGACATACACTTCATGCTTCGTGTAATAAATCATAAGGCAGGAAGCGGCTCGGACATGCTTCGCCGCTGCACAGGACATCATGTCATGTGTTCCTCCCGAGGCGATGATTCATGTCAACACGGAACAGTCCATGCATGTTACACTGTTCCACACTTCCCATCCACATGACCGACGACCGTTTTCTCCTGCGATCCGCACGCAAGGTCCGTCTACTTCGTCGCCCCCTTCCCTCCATGCGACCTTCCAACATGCATGATCTAGAGCTGACAACGTTGCGAGACATGGCGGCGGCGTTTCCGTCGTTCACCCTGTCGTTTCATAGCATCATCGTGGCTTCGTCTGGCTCAATCATCATGCTCTTCGATGATCCCCACGACACTGTGCATCGATTGCGGTAGCGTCCACCACCCTCTCCTCGGAAAGTGATGGAACATGTAGACATGAAGCGCACGCAACCTTCCCCAGCCTGCCTGCATCACAGACGACGACGATTGTCCACACGACATTAGCTAGACTGATGTCTCCATCGATCTCTGCCGATTCCCTCGTCACTGTGCAAGACAAATGCCGAGTGGTGACGGCACGACTGCGACGCGAAGCATTCACAGTCCTGCTCTCGTCCCTGTGGTACGTTGAAGAGACCCATTACTTCTCCGCGGGGAGTGGACCTCGTACGTCGATCCCGCTTCCTCCGCCAGTTCTCCATGTGCCAGAAGCATAGCGACGGAGATGCGGGGATGGTCGACAGCATTCCTCACTCATCACTCATGGAAAGCCTCATTCCACGTTTCAAATAAGCCGCGGGTTGTCATATGTTGCCTGTCTTGAGTATATTATTAAGCAGACAATCAAATCCAATACAAATTCCAAGTTTATAATGTAAAATATAAAAACACGCTACTATCATACCCAACTGCAACGGCGCATTTTTGAATTTGAGCTCCCATGAGTACTCCGATCGCCGACCTTCCCGTGATTGACTTGACCAAGTTCATCGGCGCCGCGGACTTGACGGCCGCCGACGTCGTCGACGAATGCAACAAGGTGGCGGAATGCCTCCACAAGTATGGCGTGCTCGTTGTCCGTGACCCGGTACATAGGAAGTCCCACCTCTGACTTCCCGGATGAGGACATGATCCCATTTCCTCCCATGTAGCGCGCGACGGAAGCCGACAACAACCTGTTCTTGGATTTGATGGAGCGATACTTTGAGCACACTGACTTTATCGAAGACGCGCGGCCCGAGTACAGCTTCCAAGTAGGCGTGACCCCCGAACAGCAAGAAAAGGCGCGCAACCATTGCACTCGCGCAGAAGGGTTGGCAAAAGAACACCAGCCAGTGACGCTGTGTCCGCCAGAATTGGACAAGAAGAGTCGCTTCTTCTGGCGTGCGGGTCCTCGTCCTGAGGTATGATCGATTTTATCTATCTGAAGGAAGCTAGCTTATCCACATGGCTTGTGTGATGTAGAACTCGCAATTTACCGAACTCAATGCCGAACCTGTGGTGCCCAAGGCGTTTCCGGAGTGGGAAGATGTGATGAACATGTGGGGCAACAAGATGCTCGCGGCCATCCACGAAATCGTCCAGATGGCGGCGCTGGGATTGGGTCTTGAGAAGGATGCGTTTTCGAGTCTCATGACTGTCGCGCCGCATCTGCTGGCGCCCACGGGCAGCAACTTTAGCAAGTACAACACGCTCAACGACGTCTTGGCTGGCTACCACTACGGTACATTCCTCACTCATGTTCCATTACGTATTGGGTATCATTCTTAATCACTGGGGTTCTTGTAGATCTGAATTTGCTGACTATCCATGGCAAGTCACGGTTCCCAGGTCTGTACATTTGGCTGCGCAACGGTGAAAAGGCCCTCGTTCGCGTTCCCGACGGGTGTCTCTTGGTGCAAGTACGTTCAATTCCATATTTTTGTCTACCAACTTGACTCTGAATCACCCGTTCATCCCACGACGATTCTACGTACCATTAGGCTGGGAAACAGATCGAATACCTCACGGGGGGGTACTTGGAGGCCGGATTCCACGAAGTGGTCGTGTCCAACGAGACGCTGTCCGTGATCGAAGCGCGGAGATTGGCCAATCAGAGTCTCTGGCGCGTATCGTCGACGCTGTTTTCCCACATCAATTCGGACGATACGCTGCAGCCCGTCGGTCGTTTTGCCACGTCAGACCGATTGGCCAAGTACCCGCCCATTCTCACAGGCCACCAAGTGCGTCAAGAGCTGGCGCATATTGAACTCGGCACGGGGTTCACCTTGCATCGGGACTAGTAGGTGAGGGGGGGGCACTGTTACTGTAACAGTTAGATCTCTACCCTGGTGTTGATTGATATATAGACATACTACGTAGTATAAGACAGACACGACACAAAACCGACAAAAGTTGGTCCCGCCGTGATTGGATGACCGACAAATGATTGAATTCCGATTGGTCAGGATTTTTTCGACGATCCGATTGGACGAGGCGATTGTCGTAGCGTACAGCTTGGAACATTTGTAGGACGAGTGGCTGTTGATTGCATTTGTTGATATTGTCGAAACTGGAGACGTCAGCAGAAGTCCAAATTTGGGTGAAATGCTCAATAGAAATGTCGAATTGAAAGCAATTGCGACGACTTGATTGGCTTATGGATTTCGTCCGTTACGAAATGGACCAATCAAAACACACAATACTATGGACAGTTCACATTCGTGAGAAAGGCATCCGAGGATGATCGTACAAACGTTGTCGACCAATCCCATGATTCTCATTCAGGACTAACCAGGTCCAACTGACTTGAAGAAAGGTGTACGGGAGTCTGCGATATTGGTATTATTGACGCTGTGTGTCGTTGGGGTGCATTGTACTGCAGTACTTACTCTTAGTATGAAGTCCTATATAGACCAATCGAAATACACTCTCATAAGGACAGTTGAACCTCGTGATAAATTCACCGAGGTTTATCCTATCGTTGTCATCATAACGTTATGCAAAGCATCCACAAACGAAACTGCCAAAACAACTCTGCGATTGTGTCGGATCCTGCTCAGATGGTCTGTTGAAAGTTGCATCAGTCTCAATTTCCTCCGTCGGAACCCATCATCACTCCAGAGGCTCTATGATCGGATACTACTGTAGTACTGTAGTTCCCACTTGAAATCAAAGGGTAATACAAGATTAATTTACCAAGGAGCAATAGCCACCACTGCCACCATCTACCGTTGGTCTCATCTGCCACCCTCGCATCCTCGCTCGTCATAACACCACTCGTGCTATCGATGTAGTACCTTTGAGAGTGAGAACATGATATAGTAGATCGTCATTCTGTACGTTGGTAGTATGGTGCACGGTGTAACGTTGCACGAAAGCGCTGGAAGAATGGTTCCCTCCTTTCCTTGTTCACATGGATGAACCTGGAAAAACAAATCGTCGTAAAAGGCAACCGTAAAATCCATCAACCCCGTAGCCGCCGTGGACTTATCGTTACTGCCCTACATTTCGTTCTTTGCTGGCATATGCAGCCACTTTTACACAATACCGTCACGTGCTCTCATGGGTACCTCGTGCGTTGTCCACGTAGTTATGGTCGCAGGTTTGCTTGCATTGGTTGTTGATGGTGTGGATGTCAGCGTGGTCGGACTGCCTGGCGTCTTCGCAGCCCCGAACGGCCGTACCTGTGGTGGCAGCGACGCTTCTCGACTTGGCGTTTGCCCCGGCCCTCAGCTTCGTCTCGTGTTTGGGTCGTGTTGCGAAGTCGTGCCGAGCCGCCTACCCGTCATCGTGCTCGGGTGCGTCCCTCGACGGTCTGCGACACCTTTGTGTGAAAAGAAAAACCCTCAGATCACCACCGCATCCACGATGCCGTCGTCAGCGACACCAAAAACGACAACACCAATGCCCATAGCACCGAGGACCATCTCCCCAACTCTCCAAGTGCTAACCACAGAGTTACCACCGCCTTCTCGATCAGCAACGTTTCGTCCTCCTCGGACATCAGCTTTGGTTCGCACGGGCGTCGTTCCATCAACGGCAGTTCCACCATCCGCGACCTCGAAACAATTCTCTCCTTGGGTGGTGGTGGTCGGGTGTGTTTTGGCAGTCCTAGTGGTTGTGCTTTGTTCATTGGGAATGCAATCGTGTTGTCGCTCTCGTCGACAAGGCAAGGGTCGATTCTCGACCAACTCACGGTTTCTATCGACTCGAACCCCCACGAACGAAGTACCGTGGGTCGATGTCCCCGACTTGCGGTCTAGTGACACCAGCAACACGTCGTCAATTGCCATGATGCCACCCCCCACCCCCCCTGATGGCGCTCCTCGTATGTGGGACAAACTGCCCTCTTGCTCCGTGTGCGGGATTGAGGAGTCGACCTTTGTCATGTTGTATCGAGGGGGTGGTGGTGGTACCGACCTGAACTGCTTCCAGTGCTCCAAGCAATGGTTGTAGTGTGTAGGGGGATTGTGTATTGGTCGAATATATTTCACAACGTTGGTACTGTCGTTGCTGACGTAGTTGCAGACGAACAACCGCGCAGTGACGTGGCACGCCGCAGGGTCGTTTGGAATTGAAACTGCCGTCGAAGGCTGGGGCTGGTCGATCGTTGGAGACCCCTTGACACGATGTAGTTACATGTCGGACTGCAGCATCAGCAAAACTTCAGTGGACTTGGAGGGTGTGCGAAAGGACATGTACTGAACGTGGTGGTTGGTACCAGCAGGTGAATACCATTGGACGAGTATTGCTGGCACTTGGGTAACCACGTTTTCAACTGTACTCCAACGTATGCTGCGCGAGTGTCTACTGCGTGAGTTCTCTGAAAACAGCGGTGACGGCGTCGCATACATCGACGGTGGTCGCTTCGTTGGCCTAATATCGCAAGCATAGCTAGCTAGTACTTGTCATTTCAATGCTGCCGCCCTACTACCAACAGGATATGTGTGTGGAATTCTTGACATAATAATAATGTTGCAAACGATCACTGTCAGTTTTATATTCTGTCGTTTTTATATGTGACTTTGTATTCACTCAGCACATTCATATATCTCAAATGTCGTTTCAATCCAAGTTCAGAGAATTTCACATATTTCAAGTGTCTACTGTATACTACTGTATTGCACGTCCGTGGTTCTGCCACGTTATTTCCCAATTAAGTACGAATCGAACTTGTTTGAAAAGCGTACTTTTAAGAGTACTATTGCTGAATCTGATTCGCTATTAATATGTTATTTCAACCAATCATCCACATCACTCAAACGTGAAAGGGAAAAAGCAGCTTCACAGCACCTCCAGGTGTGCTTTGCACAGGGGTAAGGATGCAGTCGGGGTATAGCGATATGCAGATGTGTTGGCTTGCGATGGGTGTGTCTTGTGGAGTGAAGCAGCAGTTATGTGGAAGCTCACTGATGGGTTCTTGCGCCCAGCTTATAAAACCTCCCTATACCTGTGAAATATGCATTGACAGAGGTTTACGTCGAGCCGAACTTTTGCATTCACAATTCAAAGCGCTCAAGATGGCCGAAGCTGCCAAAGCCGAGTGCCTTAGCCGATTCCCCAATGCCTTGAAGAGATCTCCTGCTTCCTACTTCAAGCCGAAGAGCGGCCGTCAGCGTGATGTCGACACCGTTTATGGCCAGTCGTGTCCATTTTACCATGGCTTTGCAGGTCGACTGACGAGGAGCGGCTTCATCTACAACGACGACGAGTTTCAAATGCCATTCGACGTGTCTAGTCAGCAGGTGGTGGACGACGATAGTGCGTTAGAACATGCCGCAGAAGAACACGTCCGCGATTGGCGCCAGCTGCAAGACGCGTTGGAGATGGTGGCCCGCCTTGAACCCATTTGCGCTACCGGACAGGAAGCAATGGCATGGGCGCGGTGGACTGTGATCCCCGTGCTTCTTTATGCCGATCGTCTGATCAACGAAACAACGTGGGCTGCGTATGAGTTCAACGCGTTGTTGGCCCCAAAAAACCCACATGACAACGGCGACGTTAAACCACGCGTCAAGGATTGCGTCGGCATGACGTACACCACAGGAGAGCACTGGGACTACATCTACAAGGGACACGATGGGGTGTGTGTATGTGAGACTTGCGAGGGAGGAGGAGGTGGCAAAGAAGAAGAGTGCAAAGTGCTGTGGACGCCACTGATGCAAGCATTCTCCGACTTGGGCGTACAAGACGTGCACTGGGTGTCGCAGTGGACTGACCATCCTGGATTTGTTGGCGGACTTGTTCCTGGTGGCGGGTATCTCTGCGGTGTATTCGTTGCTTTCGATGGATACTATTGGACCGATCCTGCCTAATGCAAACACTTTACACGTGAATATGCCTTGGCTGACTGCAGTTTCAAGTATCGTACCTACTTGATATCAGGTTATACACTATATAGCCGCCAAGACAGGGTCAAACGTAAGCTAACGTTAGCATGAATATGAACTTTAGTCACGGTTGAACGCACTGGCATCCCACAGCAACGCAGGCACCAGTACACACGTGTTGGAATACCATTGAACCGCAACCCAACGACACCTTCAACATACCTATATCCGTTGTCATTGGTTGGGTCCCGTGAGTATTCTTGCATTTGATTGGCGGACACAACCATAACCGTACCACGCACAATATCTAACCAAACTCTATATAACTCCCCAGGAACGACAGGCACACATTAATACGGTACTTTGCGGATTCGAAATGAACACATTGCTAAAACAAAATCTGCGATACAGGCAGGCTGGGGAAGGTTGCGTGCGCTTCATGCCTACATGTTCCATCACTTTCCGAGGTAGCAGTGGCGACGCTACCGCAATCGATGCACAGTGTCGTGGGGATCGTCCAAGAGCATGATGATCGACCCATACGACGCCACGATGATGCTGTGAAACGTGAAACGACAGGGTGAACGACGGCATCGCCGCCGCCATGGCTGGCGGCCTCGTCAGCTCTAGGTCATGCATGTTGGAAGGTCGCATGGAGGGAAGGGGGCGACGAAGTAGACGGACCTTGCGTGCCGTCAAGACATACACATCGTTGTGTGGACGTCCGAGGGAGCACGAGGACTTACGCTGTCTCCAGGACTTTCCCTTTGTCCCGCCTCCCGTCGCATCGTTCACAGTCAATGATGGATGCTCGAATAATGGCAATCTGCGATCGGAATCCATATGATTGGACGAAACGAATGCATAATGCAATTTGATTGGCTACTGTCAATTGGAAATCAGAATGTCAATGAAGAATTCATGCAAAGTTAAAAGCCATTCATCATACTGTTACAGTGTACTTGCCAGTCAGAGACTTGCTTGAGGGCGAATCTAAGTTGGAGGTAGAAATGTATGACTTTGCATCGCAGTTGCTTTACCTATAGGCCAATCCTGTGGCCATTGAAATGCAACCTAAACGAGAGGATATGATTGGCTTATTTATGAAACGGACCGATGAATGGGCCAATCAAACGAGTTTATTGCAGCACCTGTGCTTCCAACACGTACATTATACTACTACGTACAGTACACGTAGTATACTAGAGTAGAGTATCTGTATGTATATTGTGTCGTGACTTGGAATGAAACATATGAGGATGTGATATCAGCCGATAGTAACTCTAGGAAGGTAGCGATGATTGGTGAGTAGCGAAAACCGCCAGTTTTCTCGATTTTCACTAGTCTTTCCGCAACAAGCTATAAGTGCATTTCGAATCAATAGCTACTTGACAAGTAAGAGGCCGTACAACCACGTTGCCATTTCCACGCCTACGCTTTGGTGGTATACTGTATTGTCACTCCATTGGGTTTTACAATACTGAAGTAGTACGAAATACAACGCAGTAGTTGTAGTTTTTAACAGATATGCGCTTGAACATGATTGGGCAAAATTCGAATACATGGAAAACACCCATATTAAATCGACGAATGCGGTACGCAGGCCGCGCTGGCGGAGTGGGCCGAAGGTAACAGTCATGCCGCCAAGTGTGCACAACAAGTCACGTGTCGACGGGTGACGAAGGCCGAGTGCGCTTTACTCGAGCAAAAACGATCCAAGAGCTGAAGTAGGTAAAGAAAGTATCATGCGTTGATGTTGGTATGATGTATGATGCACGTCATCTAAAAACTTCCAACTGGCCAAATCGAAGAGTGGAGGTTTCATTGTTTAACGTACAATTAATGTAGTTAAACCCAAAATCAAATACGTTAAATACTGATTTCATGCGTTTTATCACTCCCAGGGTGAGGTTAAAGGTCCCAACTGCCTCCGTATATTATATTCGGATAAGAGCCACATACAAAATCAAGATTCATCTCAGCGGCCATGAGCCGATGTGAAATACCACTACTTAGGTTAAATATTTATTCTGGACCAATTCATCACCAAATTTGAATCTGAGACGTAGAATTTCTTCACCACATTGAGATCTGACGATTCTACGTCTCAATTTGCTGAAATTTTGAGTAATGAATACGAAATAGAAGTTAGAAAAAATTGTGAAAAGTTGGTAGTTTATAGGTGACGTGCATCATAGTGTCAATCAGAAAGAAAATTACTTCGGTATTTACAAACTCGATGAAAATGATACATTTAACCTATTTAGACGTTATGTCTCAATAGGTTTAATGTTCTAACAGTAAGTATCATTTTCATACATTCCTTGCCAATTCTCAAAGCGAACTTGAACTTGATTTTGCGCACGTATGTTTGTCTTTTGATGAGGATTGCACTAGGATTCGTAACAATGTTCACGTTAGAGTCGAAATGAAATCAATGAAATAACATAAAATGTTGCGGTTGTGGGTCGACTCACTGTTAAGCAAGGCAACGACAGTGATTGACATATCCGTATGACTAGTAGCCCCGAGTACGCTTTCAGTCGAATAAAGCTCCTCGATAAATCTGTAAAACTCCCAATTAGTGCGCTTAACTACTGTACTGTAACGTCAGACTTCGTATACGTATACAGTAGTAGTACCAGAAGGCAGCAAGTTAATGAAATCTGTGCTTCAAGTGCAATGCCGTTGGTCACAGAGTGCACGATATTCACAAATGATTGGTTAGGTTTCGCATTTTGCTTGGATTTAAGCCAATTAAATAGCTTAAACTTGTCGGCTCCTATTGGTCAAGATCAAGATTTCGACATTTCTCGCACAGTTGAATTGGCTTGGTCATGGTCGTGTCGAACGTGATGAACTTCTGCCGCCGCGTGTTCTTCGGGGTGGCCCCATCGCAGAACGAAGACGTCATCGTGGAGGGCTCTGCCATCTTCCTTGAGGACGGCGAAGACAATGACGACGGCAATCACATCCCGCCATGCGCCAGTCCCAACAACCATGACAGCGACACGGACGACGACGACGATACATCTCCTTCCCCACATCCCCACCGCCTGCCTCCCGCCAAGCGCGTTAAACGGCAAATCAAGGATGATGTTGTTTCGTCATCTCCGCCACAGCATGTTCCCAACGTATACACACGGGTGCTTCTTTCGACGGAACTACTCCCTGTAGTGGCGAAATTTCAACCAGGCGCGTATGTAGATATCCTGCCATTCTTAAAAGTACGCTTTTGCCAGTGCAAGACCCGCCGCGGGCTCGATCGATGGGTCGAATACCTCGAACAACTCGACACCATCTTCCCTGCGTGGTATGCAATCCATGGACTCTCTCGCATCCGCCATCTCCACCGGTGCGTGCCGAAAGGCCCCACGCGCGCCGTGATCCACGCCGCGTCGGTCGGCAACGTGACTGCCATGCGTCGCCTGCGTCGCATGTACCGCTTCAAGCTCGTGCTCGACGACTGCATCATAGCTGCCGTGATCAACGGCCAGTTCAACGTCCTCCAGTACCTGCATGCCGACGAGTCTGTGAACTCGTTTCCCAAGCATTGCATGCAATACGCGGCGGCATGTGGACATTTGGGCATTGTGCAATTCCTAGACGCGTATCGCCCAGAAGCATGCGGCGGCCCGGCCATGAACGCGGCGGCCGAGTTTGGACAACTGCGCGTGCTCAAGTGGCTGCATTACCACCGACGAGAAGGATGCAACACTTGGGCCATGGACGCCGCCGCCAAGTACGGACACCTTGCCGTGGTGCAATGGCTCCATGAGAATAGGGACGAAGGATGCACGGTGCTGGCACTGGAAGAAGCGGCAGAGCGCGGTCACTTTGAAGTGGTGACGTTCCTGCGTGAAGTCGTCCGACTTCCGTGGTCGCGGCGCGCGCTCAAGTGCATGTTGCGATGGGGTGGACCCCTCGAAGTGCTTCAGGACGCGCACACAGCGGCGCTCGACATGCTTTAATGCTCATCTCTGTTCGCTTCAATAGAGCACGTGCTGGACACTATTTTGATTGGCTACATGTGCGTATATCCGTTTCACATTCTAGCCAATCAGTATCCTTCCGTCCACATCAATGCACGGAATAATGTCACCGTTTCCAAATGTCCACGTCGTCGAGCCAGCACATTATCACAGGAGCACTTTTCAAGAAGATCTTGGTGCAATTCAAATAATAACGCTTTGGTCTACAAATACCAAGTTAGATTATAATATTGTAAAATAATCGCGCCAACACCTTGCCCCTCGCCAGTATATCCGGAAAGGGCACAAGTATCCGGACATGCCCACTTTCCCGCACGCCAACTCAACATCATGGACCCATCATATACCACTTACCAGCAGCAGGTGATGATGCAAGAAGAGCAAAGGAAGCAACATCGCCAGCAGCAGCCGTTGAATTCGATGAGCAACATGTATATGCAGCAGCAGCCGATGCATCGTTCCCAGCAGCAACAACACGTGGCATACCCGATGCAACAGCAACCTATGATGCTGTACCCAAACGATGTGGCGCCGTTGGGATCGTATGACGTCGCACCGGTGGCGTCGCACCTCGGGATGTCCGCCCCTCCGGTGTCCGCCGAGTATGGGTACTATGACTCCCAGACCCAAACCCCATCGCAACGAAGCACCAATATCCCGTACGACGACTCGGCGGCTCCAGCAGTCAGTTCCGTCCAACAACAACAGCAACAAGGCGGGAAACGTCACGCCCCGCGCGCCGCGTTCCCCGACTACAAGACTCCGCCGCAGTTCCTCTATGTCAAGGACAAGACGACCGGTGCATCGTCGTCTGTCGCGAGCACGGAGACCCAGATGCGCAACTTGCGCGTGGCCGAGGACGATCCGTCGATCAAAGCGGAACATCCCCCGTCGTCGTCCCCATCGCGTCAACCCCCAGTCGAGCTCGACATGAACATCCTGTCCAAGCTCCTGGGCACCGACCCTTCCCTGATCACCCGCGACCAAGTGCGCAACATCCTGTCCAACCCAGACCTGCTCAATATCTACAAGAAGCTGCTTGAAGAAGACCAGCGAAAGAAAAAGCGACTGGCGCGTAATAGAGACCTAGCTGGCCAGCGACGGAAACGCAGCAAGGAGCTGGTCGAGACCTACGAAGCCGAAGTCAACCAGCTCGAGAACATCCTTGCCAAGTCGTTAGCGCATGAGTTTGGTCAAGGAGATATTCAAACGCTCTTGGAAGCTCTGGGAGGTAGGATGTATTCTATTGACCATACCGATATTTGTGATGTATATATATATACATATATATATATGTATATATATATTATCGATTCGAAATTGAAGTGGAGTGCTCAATCGAATGAGCAGAATCACCAAATAAAAATCGGCCGACAATCGATATATTCGACCAATCAAAACCCACAACATGAATCAAGTAGCCAACCAAATTATTCACTCTTCGACCAATGCAACGTATCGAATTAGTATGTGACTTCAATTAGTGTGAAACACTGGACCATTTTTACATATAAAAGAAGTGAGGGCAAAGAATCGATCGATAGATTTGGCGATTGAGCACAAAAGTTCCAAATTTTGGGTAGAAGGACAATATATATATATATATATATGTTGTGTATTGGTTTCTGTGGTGCGATATACTGTAGTATATTTATATATATGTGATATAGATGTATTTGTTCATTAGGCGAACACAAACAAAGCATTACGTTGACCAAAGATGCCAAACATCAACAAACGGCATCGCTCCTCGCCCAACTCCTTCGTCATGCGCTCGTGGTATATATATATATATATATATATATGCATCCGTCGAAGCTTCTATATATATATTTAAATATATATATTCGATGCATTTGTATATATGTAATGTATTTATCGCTCTCTGTCTGGTTCATATTATATTAAATCGATGTGTTTGCACAACTAGTAGTGACGATCGTGATGCTGCTGGTGTGGCTTTTGTGTATGTGAATCATCCACCTATTTTAAAATTCCTAAACAATTCAAACTACCAACAATGGTTCGATTATTCATGTCTTTCCGTTCTATATATATATATATATATATATATATATTGCACCTATCCTGCTGACTATTGGGGGTTTTGATATTAATAGTTCCAAGACGCGAACGACGACAGCTGGATGCTGGCGTTGGCTGCCTGCGATGACCCAGAGTTTCTATCTCTCAAACTAGAAGTGGGGCTCACAGACGCGCAGTGCCGGCAGCTGGCGCGCCTTGAGCCAGCCATCCACGCCGAAGCCACCAAGGTGGCGCTAGTTGAGAAGGTCGTCGCTGCCTTGCACGCCCAAGAATGGCTCCACTTTCCAAACTCCGAGGTCCATTCAAAGTGATCGATCTTATCGTACAAGTGTCAAGAGTGTGTGTCCTATGATGGGAATGATTGTGGTGGTGACGACTGTAGAACTTGGTGGATCTGTTTCGGGGGCCGCTGAACGACGCGCAGCTGCAAAAGTTTGTCCAGTGGACACGAGTAAACCACCGCGTGATTCATGTGCTGCAGGTCCGTCCATCTAATATTGTCTTTTTACCCACCACTACATGTACACACGAATACATTGGTCAAAGCGTGGATACTTTGTGATTGGGTACTGGATTCGTGTTCTGATTTTTGATTGGTCGTATATCGATTCTATTTGGTGATTTCCTGGTCGATTTTGAGCACCCCACAATCACTCTTCCAATGTCGAATCGACTGTACAATCTAATAAACCCGAAATCTGTAAATCTATAAATCAATGGAGTTTTTTCGAGTTGCCTTGATAATTGTGTGAGCCAATCATATTGTGCGTCCTGTTTTCTTTATTCTTTTTAGCCAATCATATTTTTGATTTGGCCTTTATTCTTTTTAGCCAATCATACGTTTGGTTTGGCCTTTATTCTTTTTAGCCAATCATACTGCTTTTTGCTCGACTTTTGGTTTGGCCATGTCAAGCATCACCGACGTGATGACGACTGACAGTGTGGTGGGACGTACAGGTGGCGAGGGAAGGGGCCGACGCCGCCGACAAGGACGACGACGCGCATCTTGTGTTTGACTTTCCCGCAGATATGTAATCATATAGCATGGTGGAACTACAGTAACCTAGGACGGCATGTGTGAACCAACATCACTGTCGTCATTGCGTTCTGGCGTTGCAATAGATGAGAAGGTTTCTACTACGTCAGTTTGAGGAAGGACAGATTGAGACTTGAAGAGGAATGCTTAAGAGGCTTCCGTGTATCCAGACGATCAAAAATCGTGATGGAATCCCGAGGGGATGGCGCCATGTTGCTTGATGAGGCTCGAGATGGCGCGGAAGTCGGGGTGCTTGGAGTCCCGCACCAGTTGAAACACGATGCTCTCGACGCTCGTCAAGTACACCCCCGACTGCTGGAGGCGCTACAGAACACAACAGAGGCATCATCGTCCCCATCATAAACGAAGAAGGATCGTACGGTCAAGGCCGTGGACCGAAGGAGTGACGTGCTGCTGCTGACCGCGTCGACCGGCACGTGGACGTCGTATCCTTGTTCGAGGAGGTCCAGACATGTCTGCAGCACACACACATGCGCTTCGATGCCGCATAGAATGATCGACGTCGGCTTGGTGGCGTCCAATTCGGCGCGAACATCGTCGGTGAGCATGGAGAAGCGCGTCTTGTCGAAGGTTTTGACGTCCGGGCCAAACTCAAGTTCCGGCACCGTCGGGCCAAACCGAGCCGCGTACTGAGTCGTGACAACCGTGGGGATCTGCAGCGTCTTGGCGGCTTGCACCTACACACACCATTGTCTTGAGAGCGAGAACGACGGAGGGGAAGCGGACCAGGGTGTTGGATGCATGAATGACGGAGGGCATCTCGTAGATGCGCGTGCGGAAGATCTCTTGGATGTCACACACGAGGAGGAGACTCGACGCTGGCGCCACCTTGCCCACGCGTGCTGCGACAGTCTTGGCCAACATGTTCGACTCGTCCTTTGTTCCTGAAGCAAAATGACGCTCTAGCAAACATTGCAAGATCGCAACGAAATATATTCGAGTGTCGTGGTATTTAAAATTCTAGTATTTAAAATATTGAATTCTATGTTAACATGTAATTTGTAACCTCGGATCGTGGTGGATGTATTATATATAGATGTATAATGTTTATTTAAGCGAGCAATTTTTATTATAAATTATACGGAGAAGCCCCCTACAGATATTATGAACAAGATTATTTGTTTTGCCAGGTAGGGTATCCGGAAATCATCCGGATGTCCACCTTGCTTTATGCATCGGCGGTGGTGACACGATATCAATCAACATGAGCTTGTGGAGCGTTCTCAGTGGCGGTGTGGGCGGGTACTTCTCTGTCTACATGGTCCTGGGTGTGGCGCTGATCGCAAAGGCTCTCCAAGAGTCCTGGCTAGCTGCCTTCCGACAGCACGAAGCACTCGTGGTAGGTGGAAAGACGCGGCGGTTATCCAAGTTGCGCTTCGGTTTCTGGTCGCTCATGTGGGCGCACCTCGGATCTCGGTGGATGTATTGGCTACCAGGACTTGTGCTGATATTCGTGTGGTGGTGGCGTCGACACGGGCCTTCGTTTTGGTCCGATTCGACAGACGACATTGTCGACGACTCGGACGTGCCAGCGTTGGAACCGTTCGACCCGTCCTCTCCTCTCTCGCTACACCCAGCGCATCCCCCTCCATCCAAGCAACCAGCATCTTCATCCGCAGCACCACAAACGAACCCTCGTGCCCACAAGAAGCCGCCGTCACGGCATCCACCATCTACTGACAACAACCAAGTGCGGCGAAGACAAGAGCAACGCTTCCAAGCGTTGCTGGCACACAATACACAATGCGAGCAACTCTCTCGACCGCCCAAACCCCATGGGTGGCTGGTATACGACCCGTTGCAAGGCACGTTGGTCGTCGCGGCCACAGGACAGCCGGCGCCGTGACTGAACTAATCATCCCATCTCTACAGTTCATCAACAGTCGGGAAGTACTACTCTATCGTGTAACGTTATTATAATACTACTACGCAGTACTACTCTATCGTGTAACGGTATTATAATACTACTACTACTACGCAGTACTATTAATATGTACCCGGTAGTAAGCACTACTACGTAGTATGTACTACCGAACCTTTGCACTATGCAATATATTACTAATGTAAATTTGAAGAATTTATTTAAATATTCGAGCTGTATACTAGTAATTGATTTGAGATTGAATTTTACTATTGTGCTTTCGAGTGAAATTTCGTGTTGTGGTGTGGTTTTCGTTTGAATTTAATTCGATTTCATTGGCTACTTCAGATGAGCTCAAAATTATTAGCCAATCAAAACCTTCTCAATGAAATTCAACCAATCAGATCGATTGTGGATCGGTTTGGTCGGCGCGATTCGATTGCACCCCCTCCCCAAATTTGTATCAAATCGACAATATATTCAGGAGCTTGGGTAACGAACGGCCAAATGCCCAACTTGCCGTCAAAGTGCTGGTTTCGCTGGCTGTCGTATCGAGGTCGAGCAACCGCGGCTAGAAACATTACTTGGCCGATGAATCGCTTGTTCTGTGTTCGTCGCTCGGGAGCATCTTCGCTCGACGATAGGTAAAATCCCGTGCGTCCTTGTCCATACGGAACAATTTCTCGTCAACGTGTATAGTATCGTCGAAGTCGAGGAACTCAAACGCAGATTGAGTTGGATCGCGTTGAGTTACGTTTGACAGGCAAAACTCCAGCCGAGAGCTCATGTGCGCCTGAGTGAGGGCTGGCTTGAGATTCGTGGATCGTCTGTCCAGCAGCCCTTCTTGAACGCGACGATGGAGCGTGGATTTAGACATGGATGCGTGGTGCGCGGTGCTGCGTATCGTTTGTCGAAATTGGACGTCCACACCGGCCACGGCGTCCAAAACGTCCTCGTTTCTTATCCGTGGACGGCCACAACGACCTTGTCGCTTGTTGTGGAGAGCGTGGATGGATCCATTGTTGTCGTCGTTGTTGTTGACCGATTGAGCATTCCACAGTGCCGTGATGGTAGAGCGATGGCAGCCGTACTTGGTCGCGAGGCGTGTGAACCTGCCGTGTGGTAGCTTGTTGTTTTGGATGGTGGTTCTCAAGTCGACGAGCATGGCCATCTTGGTTGCTGCAGAGATGTCTTCATGGCTTGAGCGTGTCATTTGGCAAATGTACGTGGTGTACCCACATTGGATAATTATATTCTGGAGGTTACATTTTTCTCTATATTAATGTTTTGGCTGGTCCGGGCGTGTTTGACCATACATTATTCAAGTCCGGTGAGTGGTTTAAATTCTGTGGTGAGTGACGATTTTATTTTGATAATTTCGGGCACACCATACAAAAAGGATGTAATATAAATACCATTAGGCGCACCGCCGAATTCACCGCTTCTGATTGGTAAAAAAATCGTAGCAATTGAGTAAACGATACAAATTTCGGGGGTGGGGATGCTCTAAGTAGACATACTACTGTGGCATGTCCAAGTTGAAACGCGGAGGTAATTTGGGACAGAGTAGTACTAGTAGTAGTAGTACTGTATTGTTCTTAGTACTTCCATCAGCATACAGGTAACGACGGAAATCTAACTCAATCATATTTTGTGCTTCAAAATATTATACTTGAGGTATGGTGCACGTCATCTATAAACTACCAACTTTTCACAAAAATGTCTGACTTCTATTTCATATTCATTACTCAAAATTTCAGCAAATTGAGACGTAGAATCGACAGATCTCAATGTAATGAAGAAATTCTACGTCTCAGATTCAAATTTGGTGTTGAATTGGTCCAGAAATAGATATTTAACCTAGCGGTATTTTACATGGGCGCTTGGATATTTGGCCATAGGGGTGGCCGCTGAGATGTATCTTGATTTTTGTATGTGACTCTTATCCGTATATAATATCCGGAGGCAGTTGGGACCTTTAACCTCCCACTGCAGTGATAAAACGCATGAAATCGGTATTTAACGTATTTTGCTTTTGGGTTTAACTACATTAATTGTACGTTAAATAATAAAACCTCCACTCGTCGATTAGGCCAGTTGGAAGTTTTTAGATGACGTGCACCGTTTACGAATTACTATTAATAGTGTCCAATAATAGTGTAGTACACTCAAAAGTCAACTTTGAAATTTGTATACCACATACGAATTCGAAATGCAAATTGAAGGACCATTGGATTTCCATCAGAATACTGTATACAGCAAGGCCCTCTTGGCATCAACCAAACTTGTCCCTCAACCATATATATATCCTACACATTGTATGGTATAGTTTGTGCAAGCTTGCTTCCATGGCGTCCAATTATAGTGTCGACTTTACAAGCTGTTGGCGATAAAGTCTTTGATCGCTTTCTTGTGCCCCTTCACATCCACGTTGAGCTCGGCCGTGAGCGTGTCCATCACCTAGATTCGGATATTCATTTAACGCTACATAGATGATTCATCATCTATCTTTCTACCGTTTTCAACGTCAGCGTCTCCACGTCGCCTTCCGTGACGATCTGCTTCAATCGGGTTTGGATGTCTACTGGCAACGCCTTGCCGGTCGGCTTCTTCAGACCCGCCTCTGCTTTCCGCGCCGCCTCCTCAAAGTCGTTCTCGCTCTCCGTCTCAGCGTCATCCGCTGCCACCGCCACCACCTGCTTCTTCTTCTTTGATGTCGTCGCTTCGTTCGATGCACTCTATTTCCACAGACGAATATGATATTATATTATATATATATGTTGCATTCACGTTTTCGATGCAAAAGCCATATATATGCAGGAAACATCCTAAGATAGACAAATGACTGAATGGTCCAACACACTAGATCCAAAATGTTGCATCCTATATATATATATATACATGTAGATATATAGAATGGGAATCCAGATGGGTTGAGAAACGTACGACTTTGCGCTTCTTGGAGACGGGGACCTTCTTCTTGCCCGGCTTTTTTGGAGTCGCCGCCGAAGGAATCGCGTCTTCGTCATCCGTAGCGGTCTCGACGTCCGATGGTTTCTTGGCTTTGGTCTATTAAAAACAATGAATAAGGTGATGATATCTTGATATATTTTAGCCTTTTAAATATATATATATGCTTTCAAATATAGTTATCTATAGCAATATAGTCGATATATTGTATAGATATATAGAATATATATTTATATATAAAAAGACGTTGATGATAATACCTTGATACGTTTTAGCATTTTAAAAACATATACTTTTATATACTGTAAAATATATTGATATATAGTAGATAGATATATATGAAATATATATTTAGATTTGTATGAACAATACACCAAGCGAATCTGCAATACCTCTGGTTTAGCCGGAGCTTCAGAACACCATAAACAGACGACATGTACATTCATGTCGCCCTGCTATACTATTCTCGCCCTGCTATACTATTCCTAGTATGAAGAACGACTAGTACTACAACACGATGCAATAATATAATCACCGAGAAAAACGCATATATAACTATGCATGTGCAAACAGGTACTCCCCATGGCCACGAAAAAGTGTACGACCTAAGCAGGGGACATTGGACAACATACCTTGGTGGATTTCTTGGCTGCCTTCTTGGCAGGTTTGGCTTTGGGTTTCTACCATCAGGGGCGTTAAAAGGGAGATAAGTTTCTATCACCGGTAATAGCTACTACTAGTAGTAGTACTAGTAGTACGTACGACTTCGGTGGGGGTGGGAGCGAAGAGCCAGTCGATGATGCGCTCCACCTTGTCGTCTTTGCCGCCTTGGGCGCCGCTGTCGACAAAAGACTTCTTCGATCGGTCCACCTACATCATTATGCGTCATTTGAAGTCTTCGCATATGCAACGAGTGGAGTACCTGGAGGAAGTCCATCAGCACATCTACGAACCCCACGGTAGCGCGGCACAACTTGATCGCCAAATCATCGCGGAACTTGTCCTTGTCCTACGTACATGATCACAGTAGCATGAGACCAACGTTGTGCATGCACTTGATGGAGAAATCGAAAGCGTACCGCGTCGTCGTCGAACGGAAGGTACCCCGAAAAGTCCAAAATATGCTGCTTGGCGTCCTTCATCTAATGGAAGAAGAAGCTCGAGCATGAGATGCTATGACGTGGAGATGGAACACCATGGGTTGTTTTGTCTTACGATGCCAAGGGAGAACCGACGACTGAACATGACCTGGTACAGCATCTTCAACACCTCTGCGTCGCGTTTCCCGCATTTCGACACCTACATGCACATGACGTCAGTCAAACGCGAGGGACGATGACGTACCTTCTCGGCCAGGTAGTCGATGTCGCGGAGCTTGGTGCCAGGACCAACGGGTACGACAAACTCCACCTCAGACGGTGTCTCATCTGCTGTCGTATACACTGATCGCGGTGCTTGACGCGCTCGATCGCTTCGCCGTTCGCCAGGAATCTCCACCCGAGGGACGGAACTCGCCTTCTTGCGCTTCGGTGCCATGACCTTGTCCTCCACTGTTTCGTCCTTGTTGGAATCATCGTTCACGGCCTTGTCGTCGTCAGACGCCGCAGGAAGTTCCTGGGCTTCAGCATCATCGTCAACCTTGTTCTCATCGGTAGCCTGGTCCTCATTCACAGGAGTCGTCGGTAGTTCTTCCTTCTCGACGGCGGCGATGGCGGCGGCGGGTGGCGCGCTGGTTGGTGCTTCGTCCGCGTCCATAATCTCAAACGTTTAATACTGAACCCCTCGTCACTTGATTTCACTATGGTGTCGTGCGCGGGAAAGCCAAAACTCAAATCCATATCCGGATTAACCGGATATCCCACACTGTCCACTTCCTGAATGGCTATTGGTGGATAATATTAATCCTAACTTGAACAATTTCATTGGCTGGTCGATCTAAAAAAAAGCAACTCCGGACTACTAATAGTACACGGAGTAGTACAGCAAAAGCGTACTAGTACTACTAATACTAGTACATACTATTTAGTAGTAAGTTTTTCAAATACGAAGCTCGCTTGTGTGTAGGAGCTCTGTCACGGTGTAGCATAGTAGGTATACCGTATAGTGTATATGTATTGCGACAGGTGATATTTCACAACCCGCCGACACTCGTTCTCAAAATATTGTTAATCCATTGCGTCGTACAAATTTGAAGTATATTAAACATATTCACAAGTAAATAGTTCGAAGTATCAGTTATTACAAGAAAATTATCAGTTATTACAGGAGTCGCAATAGATTAATCCGTCGCAATCCATATACACTATACGGTAATACGACATTCGATTCGAAATTGGGTGCTCATTCGAATGAGCAGTAGAAGGCAGAGAATCGATATACGACCAATCAAAACCCAGATCAGTAGCCAATCAAATCCACCAAATCAACCACGAATTAGTGTGTGATTAGTTTGATAAGGGACCATTCGATAGATCGATAGATTTACTGTTAATAGTGTGGTTGTTATACTATTAATACTACTGTAGTAGTCCCAACAAAAAACGAATCAAGTTTCTGTGGATATTATTTTAAATACTTTTTTTTAAAACGAGTACGACCGTGCAAAATGCGTGGGGGTGGCGGGGATTTGAAACTCGGCGGGGCCGGGGGCTTGTTTGCACCAGCATCCGCATCCCGTCGGGCATGCATTCTATCCATATATATATATATAAATGATCTCCCACAATATATATATATATATATCCTTCCTCCGTACCTCGGTAGCAAACCATGCTACTAGATGGTCGGTATGGCCGCCATGTCCGCAGTTCATACAGTACATACTCTGCCCACGCACAATCAACTCACACACGGCGCATTGGACGCTAAACTTTTGACACGCGTCGCAGTATAGTTCGTTGCACGGCTACAATAGAAAAAACCCTTGTAATTACATGTATGTGTTATTAATACCATATCAAATTCATCCTCAAAACAAATAATACTGCAAATAGCTCGTTTATTATCCATTTTTCAACATTGAAAAGCCATCACCACACGACTCGATTGATTGTATGCATAATCATCCTAGTATCATTATGACTATATCAAAACATACTTTAAGTATATATATATATATATAAGCATTCAAGATGCACATCATACATGTACACAAAAAACCTAGCCGTTAGTTAATATATCCCACTACAGAGCAAATAGTAAATATATCCTACTACAGAGCAAATAGTAAATATATCCTACTACTGCGCAACTAGGATTGATTATTCGAATGTTGGAGGACTCAATCGACTGAGCACAGCCATATCGACATACATTCGATTAACCAATCAAAACCCACAACACTCTTCAAGTGGCCAATCAAACTCTTGTATCATCCATCGAAGCAGTCGTGGGTGATTTGAATTATTAATAGTGTGACGGGCTTCACACATGTAACCCACAAAGATACAATATGCTATAGCAAAAACAATAGATATTGTGATTTGTTCTACTCAAAATTGCCTCCGTTGGCGGTTGGTTGAATCAACCGCCGAACAATCGCCGGACCTTTGAAATTTCATATATAACTAAGTTGAAGAGGTATCTTTGAAACTACAATCAATCTTTTTAGCCAATCATATTGCAACCGTCATTCTTTATAGCCAATCATACTCGTTTACTCGATTAGTGTACAACAAGTCGTTAGGTCACAAAAAGCTCTACAAACTTTGGCATAAACACAAAAATATCAATTTCACCCGAACCTCATGTTGTTTGCCGTACCCGGCCACAGTGGCAGCAGTAGACTGCCAGGGTCAATCCGACGTGTGGGTCGGACGGGGTGTGTAAATGCTTGAGTAAGTCGCATCGGGCGTTGGTCGCGCCTTGGCGGTACAGCAGATCGGCTTGCGCGCGCTTGTACCCGTCATACCGCGCCAGGTCCGATCGGTCAAGCAGTGGCGACAGGTTCGGCTGGTCCTTGGCGGTGGAAGATCTGCCTGGCGACAGCACGGCGTCGTCGTCAATCGAGTCGGTCGAACCGGACGACGTCGTCCTCGTCGCGGGTGCTTCCATGACGAGGCGGCGGGCGGAGGACGGTGATGGCGGCGGTGGTTGAGACAAGTGGACGGCGCACACGATGGCCGCGAGGGTCGAGACGTCGCCGGCAGCTTCGTACAGCTCGAGCATGTGCCGCACCAACGACGACCCGAACGGATGCGCGTGCCACGGCGGCAGGTGAAGTGACGATCCGTCGATCAAGTCGAGACCCGTCGACACGGACAGAATCGACCACATTTGAGCTTGCTCAATGTTTCCGGCGGCGGCGGCGGCGGCGGCATGGACGTCCGGGGTCGTTATGAGCATCGACGAGTGATGGCATAGGTTGGCACAGTCTAAGATGTGGACTCGCAAGACCAACGTCGAGTCGGCATTGTTGCTGGTCTGGTAGTTGCTTGTAGTAGTAGTAGTAGCGGTACTAGTAGTAGTACTAGTAGTAGTGAGATTGGTTGTGGACATCAACGTTGATGGGAGGGCGGTGGCATGGCTGTGGCGATGCCGGGGGTATGATGGAGGCGACGGGTGATAGGGCAGAAACTGGCGGCTGAGATACAGTGTATTGTGGTCATCAGATTCATGTGACACCGTTCCATTGTCTGGTTCGTCCACAAACACGTTAAAGTCCATGTTGTTGGTTGTCGTCATAAACGACAGGGGAGGACGCGACGACGACCCGGACGTCGGCGGCGGGAGGACGACGACCGGTCGGGCGGATGTGTGCAGGACCTTGGACTGGCCAATCGCGACGCGCGAGTCAAAGTACACGAGGCAGTTGGGGCCGCTAAAGCAACCGCCAGATACCCGTCGAATCGGCTCCCGAATGGTCGGGCGGATGGCGGCGGCAGGTCCTCCCGCGCTGCTCAGACACAACACGTCGTCGTCGATACCGCCGCCGCCATGAGGAGGATGAGGAGGATGGGATGTCATCACGCGGTTCGCAGCAGGGTCGTGCGCGGGATGCCATTCCTCGACATTCGCCATCACATCTCGACGATGCCGAGTAGTAGTAGTACTAGTACTACTAGTCTTGTTGTCGTTGGACTCGACGGCAGGTGGCGGGTGAGATGGAATAGTAGTAGTACTACTAGTAGTAGTACTACTAGTAGTAGTAGCATGTAGAGGGGGCGGCGGCGGCAGGGGCAGCGGGATAAAGTCGGCTTTGAGTGCCGTGAGGTCAAACTTGTACGCAGACATGACATGCGTCGAGTGATGTCTCGAAGTCGGCGGGACTCCATATGGAGTCGACGGACCCGCATCAACAGACGATGTAACGGCAATGTCATCTACCAAGCAACTCCAGTCGGACGAGTGTGGGGGCTGATTCTGATTCTGATTCGAGGTCGGGGGGTACGATTTCGCAAGTCCGCAGCCTTCCAACAACGCCATGTCCACCTTCCACATGCGAAGTTCCTGCTGTTTACTCCACGAAATCAACTGAAATACCCCCGTGGGATTCCCGTGGTCAGCCTCTTGATGTCGCCACGCAAATCCCTTGACCAAGTCTTTGTGCCCGACAAAATCAAACACCTACATATATATATATATATATATATATATATATTGTCGATTCGAAATTGCAAGAGTCGGGTGTACTCCATCGAACGAGCAGAATATAACCAATCAAAATCGGCAGATAATCGATATATTCGACCAATCAAAACCCAACACATGAATCAAGTAGCCAATCAAATCCACTCGTCGAATAATTCAACATCGAATTAGTGTGATACTGGACGATATTTACATACAAACGTCAGTAAAACAAAGAATCGATCGATACATTTGGCGAATCAGCACAAAACTCATAAATTTTGGGTAAAACGACAATATATATATATATGTTTCTCCATACACACAACCATGACCCCTCCCCCTCGTTGGTTTATATATATATATATATATATGTATATTGAACACTGTACCAGTTTCGGCTCAACGAGGTTAGTATTGTCTCTTGTAAGACTCCACAGCCGTACAAAATGGTCTTGTCGGTTGAATGAAGTGAGCAGTCCGTCCCCAAATGGCGTGTACCTGGCGCGCCACACGGGGGCGCCCGTCGTGACCGTACCTATCATGGTTATATGCAGAAACCGCTTACGATATATATATATATATATATATATATATTTACCTT